TACTACTACTACTACTACTACTACTACTACTACTACTACTACTACGTACTACTACTACTCTACTCTACTACTCTACTCTCTCTCTCTACTCTCTACTCTCTCTCTCTCTCTCTCTCTCTCTCTCTCTCTCTCTCTCTCTCTCTCTCTCTCTCTCTCTCTCTCTCTCTCTCTCTCTCTCGTGTTGGGTTCTGGGGAGAAGGAGAACAGGGGGGGTTGGGACAGGGAAAGGAGAGAGATAAGGACAAGTGTTACTATTAAGGTTACAAAAAGAAAAGAAAAAAAAAGATAACGATAAAAGCACATGTAGATGTAATAGAATACATGGATCTCTTTAACACATCGAAAAGGTCAGTCCCTCCACATCTCAATTACTCCTTCGAAATATATAATTAAAATTTTGAATGAGTACAATTATGATTTTTTTTTGGACATATACAATTATTAGTCAGATAAATTATCACTTCTTCCCTATCACCACACCATATTGCTTTTTAACATGTTACTATCACAACACCATATTAATTGAAATATTGGTTGTAAAAGATTTAAGGGGAAAGGACAGAGATTCCAAGCACTTACAAGGGTAACAGAAATTAGAGAACATTCATAACTTCCTTACAATGAATGTTTCATGAATTCCCTCACATCTTTAAAGAGTACATACCTTTTGAATCACTCTGCAACCATACATTTGAAGACTCAGGGCCAAGACATGCCCGGTAAGCTGGTTGGCCAATTCTCTTCTTTGGGCTGTAGTACCATGCTCAAAAAACTGAAACAAGAAAGAAATGTCATTTACGGATGGTGCCAGAAAATTTGTGTACCAATTCAAAAGTAGCCCAGGGACTTACCTTCTGGATCACATAGTTCCCAAAAACATCTGTCATCAAAGATAGAGCTTGAGGAATAATTTCTTGAAAAACCATATTTTTCTCTTCAACTGTGGCAGTTTCAAGTTTTTGTTGAATGAAACGACTCCCATACTGATCCGCACTGCTCAAAAGGATAAAATATTTATGAAAGCTAAAAAAATTAGAGAAAAATAACCACCAACCAAAGCTTGAGAATAAAATTGACAGAAGAATTGCAAATTGCACACACCTGAATTCAACCACATGACCAGCAATCTCCGAAAGTTCGCATTTGGTCTTGTTGGTTTTAAACTCTTCCAAAAGAGAGGATGCAAAATTTTCTTCTAAATTTGGACCATTGTCTGCATGCCACGAACCCACAACTCCCGAGCCTCTGATCCCTGAAGCAAAACGAAGGCTCCGGTCATTCTGCCTCATAGGGGGACTTCCAGGTCCCACAGGAGAATTAGGAAGAACAGGGCTTGTTAATGGACTCCCTGGATATGGCATGCCAAGACCAAAAGCAGGATTCCCATAATACCCATGATTCAAGCCACCTGATTTATTAAAATAGGGTATATTGTATTGCGATTTTTGCTGAGCAAGTAATGCCCCAAGGTAAGCTTTTTGAAGCCCAAGTAAATCTACATAAGAACTGCCCATGTAATTCCTTTCTAATGAAGGATCAGTGAGACCAGCTGCCACTTGTGATGCATATTCAGCAGTTCTTTGCAAATACTGTATATACAGCGGGTCCATGACTGGAACCTGAAGACCATTAACTGTTTGGTTCCGAATCCTGTTCAGGTTTTGCAAATCATTATTCCCTGTAAGACCTGTTCCTGAATTCAGACCAGCACCCATTGACCTAGAGTCCAATCCAGGACCTGCCAAAGAGGCAGAGAAAGAAATGTTATCAAACAAAGGCGACATATTATTGGCACCAAAATGGTTGTTCATCACTGTGGGGTTCACAGAATACCCACTCAAACCATAATTTGCAAATGCTGCATTTGAAGCATCCACATTCTGATATGAAGTAGGCGAACCCCCAGAACGAGAAACAGCAGATGCAGAGGCTGCTTGTAAATATGAATTATTGGAGGAAGCAGATTGCTTGGGCAGATCAACTTGAGCATCAGCAGTTAGCATAGTCTTATTCAGCTCAGATCGAACTCCATTGCTTTTACATAGATCACTATATGATGGTTTCCCCAATTGAGAAACACCGGGATTAATGTTATCGAAGAGAAAATTCTCACTGATCTCATTGTGGAGCTGTGGTTGCAAGTGGTTTTCTGAATCTATCAACCCATTGTCCGACAAACTTATCCCTGAGAAAGCATTTGCCAGATCTGTAGAGTCAGCCATACCAGAAGGAACACCATTGAAGGAGTTCGAAACTCGAATTGTTTTCTTATCGGAAGTGGTATACTTTTCACCCACAGGTGGAAGGCAGGGGCTAGGAGACCTCACTACATGTTGAGGATCTGGAGTCGTGCTCCTTGGAAGAGATGACCCAATAGGAGAAGTAAAACCATGAGAGGAGTTATGAACCCCAGATAGACCTTGCATAGCAGCTGAACCGGAACGTAGACCATTCTCGTGATGTAAGTGTGCAAATTCAGAGCCTATTGGATCCACACCTTCATCAAAAGCATTACGACTTGCTGGACGAGATAGGTGCCCAGAGATTGGAGCTGGATGGCTGACATCCTCCTGCAAGAAAACGTAACCAAGCTCAAGAGTTAATTTCAGAGCATAAAATTCATCGTGACCATACTTCCAAAACAGAAAATATCGATAGAACCATAACACCAACATAATTTATACTATGATACATCTTTATTATTTAAAAGATGTATGCAACACTATCCTTAAAAGGAAAGCAGCTGTATTGCTAATGACACAACACAATAAATGAAAGCATATGGACAATGCCACAACAGTTAACAGGTCTCTTTCTATGTCATACATTGGTTCATTCTAAATCACCATTCTAAATCACCATGGGGTTAGGCCTTTACATTAGAGATAATATAAGTCAAATATCAACTTCCCTTAAATATTTGCAAATTACAATAGAATAAAGGTATTTAGACAATTTTAAATGATCAACGTTGTCTGCTTTAAATATTTGCAGTATTTCTATTTTATCCTTTTTATATGCAATGTATATGTACACGCCCCTTGATTTAAAGAAACATAACATCAGACACTATAATCCATTTACTAAAACAAGAGACTCTGATTCCCAAGTATGATTTACTCCTAGAGCTCATATTCGTTGCTGATTGCTAATTTGGCTTTTTGTAGAAACAGGGTCCACATATAAATCAAAGAATAGTAAGACAAGCCCTATGATATGAGCTGGAACCTATAATGCACAAGCCTTATCCTCTCCAATAAACCACAACAATCTTAAATTCTTTGACTATAATAAACTTGGACCCATTGAACATGAGACCTATGAGACACAAAAGAAGAGTTAGTTCTCATTGGAGAACATGTTCAAGGAAAAATAATAAGGTTATATGACGATAAACTTCTTGAGAGACATTCACGCAAGATGACTCGACATTGCTATGAAAATGGCACTGTCTCCTTGAGGACACAGAATGTGATATCTGGAAAAAGATGACTAGTGTTAGGCACAGGGCAGGGGCCCAACAGGTTTAATGGGCAATGACTCAAAAAACAGAAAAAAAAATCCCAGATGAAGTCATAACAACTAGCAGAGGGCACACACCATCTTTCCAGCCTAAGAAAAATCACTCAATATAGTCATTTTCTGATATATAACCAAAAGAACCAAGATACCGTAAAATAACTCAATAAAAACGCTGTGTTATTATGCATCGCAAGAGGGACAGAGATTCAGATGAAGAAAGCTCAATAATTTATTGTATTCTGATGAGTGACCCTTGAGACCAACATTCCTGACAAAATAAATCATAAGGGCCGTGTTACAATGTGTTACTAAAAGGATCAAAAGTCAACTACCATCTAGTTCCATATCCAGCTAACAGAAAACAAAAACAACGAAAGCGTCCTTGAAGAGCTCCCACTATTTAATAAACGAAAGTAAATGGGATCGCCTTACATACGTGGTGATCCCGCTCTAGGAATGGGATCCCACACTCCATAAGTGGGACTCGGTCGATCCGTGATCCCATTTTGAGAGAAGCGCAAACCAAATCAAGACAGTCATACTTTTTGCATTTTGCAAGGAAAAGAAGCAATAAATGCATTCAATCAAAACAAGAAAGAATTAAATGCATATCGCTAAAAAATAAAGAAATAAATGTATATCTATAATATTAGAAAGCAATAATTATTCAAATCTCTGTGTCGTAAAAAAATTTTACGCTGCAAGATACTCTTAAATCGGCATCGACTTCCAAAATCTCATTTAATGCATAGAATGGCATCAAACATTTGTGTCAAACTTTCACAATAATACTTTAAAAATAGCCTTAATATCGAATATTTGCCTTAGCGAACTCAACTAGAACAAACAAAGATGATAGCTTAGAAAAATAAACCTCGACCACTTTGCATTGGCTAACTGAACTAGAATAAAAAAAATATAAGAGCTTTAAAAAATAAGCCTAAGATTTGAAACTTTCCATTCTCTAACTGAACTGGAACATAGAAAAAGCGAAAGCATTAAAAAATAAAACTGAAGATAAACCATTCTGTTAGCCAATGAAACAAACCAAAGAAAAGATGTAAGCTTTAAAAAATAAAACAAAAATCAAATATTTGCATTAGCTAACTGAACTAGAAAGGAAAAAGAGTTTTGTAAAACATCCTAAAATATCGATACATTTGAGTTGGCGAACTGAACTAGAACAGGAACAAGATGAGAGCTTTCATAAATATACCTAATCAGCAAACCTTACCACTGGCTAACTGAATCAAAATAAAAATAAGACGAGATCTTTGAACACTGTACCACAAGAAACTTCATTGGCGTTAGCTAACTGAACTACAATGCACCCGAGATGAGAACTTTTTTCTTTTGGGTGGTTCAGTAGTAGGGATCGAACTTGAGATGTAGCATTGCTTGACATCAACTGCCAATCACTCAAGCCCAAGCCCAATTCCTAAATCTAGACAAGAACTTTGAAGAATATACCAAAAGATCAAAGTTCAGAGTTAGTTAACTGAGCTAAAGCAAGATGAGACCTTTCCAAGATAAACATAAAGATTGAACCTTGGCATAAGCTGCCTGAACTAGAAAAAGAAAAAAGATCAAATCCTTATAAAGAAAACTAAACAAAATATAAACTTTTAGCTATTCGAGCTATCCAAACAATCAGCCCAAACCCTTAAAGCATTACACACATATCTACAAATACCAAAACATTCAAGCTTAAACATTCACGCTCATCAATCATATTAAGTGTTTCTCTTTATCAATCCAGAAATTCAAATCAACATGAAAGCTAAAACATGCACACATCAACCCAAAAAAGGGACTCGTTGTATTATCCAAACTCTCATATTCGCTCAAACTAATCCAATCACTTCCAGAAATCCATGGAAAGTTTCTAAAACATTGTTTCACCAAAGTAAAAGAATAAGAAGAACAGCGAATGAATCAAGTACAGCTTCATTCACTAATAAAATCACCTGAAATATACCAGGAAGCCCATTCCTTTTTGTTCCCAAATCCAATCCAGACAATCCAATCAATCCATCAGCTCCCCTCTCCATCCACTCAGCTGATGCTTGTCTCGATAGCCCACCCTGTGAAACCCTAACTTCTCCTTCTTCTCTCTGAATATCAAACCCGGGTTGCAAAGAAAACAGAGACCTACTTCCTGTTCCTTCCTCTCTCCCTACCTTCTTTCTCTCACTAAACCCAGGTGTCCATGCCTGCAATCGCTGAGCTAACCTCCAATCCTCTTTAGAGAGAGGAGGAGGAGGAAGCCTCGGGTTTAGCTTGACATGCGAAAAGTAGTACTCCGCATAGTTGGGATCAGACCTTAAACCCTCCTCAGTGCGATCTGAGCTGCCATGGGTAGAGCCAAAGAGCCCTCCTACTGCTGCTAAAGATCCTTCAACAGTTGGTGGAGCGCTTCCACTCCTGTAAAGGTTGAGTTCCCTCTCCAGATCATCTGATTCGTGACGCCTTTGCTCTCTCAGTAAAAACCCTAATTCTTCACTGTAAGATCCATCGTTGCTTCCTTTGAGGCCCTCTCCTACTAATCCAGGCCTCATTCCAACATCTGATAACATTTTCTGAGAAACTTACACCTGAATCGCTGGTATTTACAGAGAAATTGGAGATTAGTGAAGTAAAAGAAAAACCAGTCAGGCAAACCACTAAACAAGCCGGAAACCACTAAAACAAGCCGCAACACCGCCTACGGTATTAGATTTCATCCGATCTCGGTTGTGGAACCTGATTTGGACATCTAAAACGCCATTAATCGATGGTTTTTTCGGCCATTTTCGGAGCTGGATTAGAGTGGCTGCCTGCCTTACAGTGTGAGAGAGAATGGAAAGGAAAAATCAGACAAGAGAGCATGCTGTTGATAAGCACGAAATGACACACTATCGACCGTTCGGTCAATAAATAGACGGCTGTGATTTTCAGCCGGTGGTTCGGTTCTTTCAAGAAACCTTAGGGTTTTATTTCGCCATAAATGTCTGATTAGTGATAAGTTTTAGTCATCCGCAAGATTAGGAAATGTAATAATTATGTTTTTTTTCTATTAAAAAAGCTTTAATATTAGGCTCTTAATTTAAAAATCTTTTTTCATTAGAGATATTTCTCACGCTTTAATGCCACGTCAGCATACGTCCCCCTCTTTGTGAAGAGTCTGTTATGAAATCCAATTTGTGATATTGCGGGTTATACCTACTATTTTTAGGGTGCGGTTAGTTAGGCTATAAATAATCAAATTAGAGCCTAGTTTATACTAGTAGTTTTAATGTCGAAAATCTTTGTGATAGCCTAAAATTATTTTTTAAAATTTATTTTTAAATTTAAAACTTTAAAAATAGTGTAAAAATCTTAAAAAATTGACGATTCAAAAATGTGTTACAAAATAAATTATTCCAAACCTTGAATCCATTTTTTTTTTCATGTTCATGCATCTTGATATCGAAATGATCAATTTGAGAATATTTGAGTATCAATGAAATTTTTGAAGTAGGCTCTAATTTAATTGTTTAGAGCCTCTGCACTTCCCCTGGTTTTTTTTAACTTGTCACTATTTATTTTTATATATCAAATATTACATCTTAAGGAAATCAAGCTTTCTAGTGGGGATGAGTTTATAAGGAAATCAAGCATAAATTTTCTAGTGGTTGAGTTTATAAGGAAATCAAGCTTTTTTAGTGGGGATGAGTTTATAAAAGATTAGGTTTTACCATAAAAAGTAAAAATGTACCTCAAAAATTTGCTGAAAAATCATGAAATCAATATCTTGATCTTGATACTGACTAATTTGAAAAACCAAATTAATCTCAAGCCCTAAAATAGTATATTATTGTATTACATTATCCGGACCATTTTATTTTCAAGTGTTTACATATCCATATCTAGTAAATATATATAATTTTTGGGGCTTCATATTCATTGTCAAAACTAAGAGTAAACCTCGACATTGTAGTGGTTTTCGTCAATAAAATTATATTTTTTGGTGTAATTTTAATATATAAGCCTATTTTTTATCATAAAGCATAGTGCATAAACTAGCCTATTATTGTGATAACCAAATGGGGATTGCACTTTAGCAATTAGCTTGCTATTCCCACAGGGAAATGGGTGAGAATTGCAAAAAACAAGGGTACAAAAAGAATCAATACGCATTTCGTTATTAGAAGGATTTTGTGGTTTCACCTTGATTATTATGAATTAAGGGGAATTATTATTATTTCAATAATAATGGTACATCATCTTTACAAAACTAAACGGGGTTGCTTTTCTATTTTATTGCTTTTGTTATTTCCACCTGAATCATAGGTGGGAATTTTGAACAAGCTACAATCGGCAAAATGTAAGAAAATATAGGTACAAATAGCAATTTATCTATTCACAACAAAAATTTTCAAAGAAGAATTAGACTAATATTAATTCGGTCAAGAACCAAATTTAGAATTTATAAAGATGCTTCGGCTTTTCACTTAATTTAAAGAGTCAAAATGTAGGTAAACGGGTGACATATCAATGATAGAATAAAACACATGACGTCATGCTGCAGCACCCACCATCCTGACCACTTATTCGTGAATCCATACCTAGGAAGGGGAATAAATTTACAAAATAATTCTCCCCTAACTGTATTTACCCAAAAACTAATGAAAAGAATAAAAAAAGTTATAAATTCAGTGACAACGCGTAGAAGGAAGGTAACCGCTGAGCAAATCAATTGAACGGCTTAGATCTCATATTAAAGAACATGGCATCCTCTATCAGTATGTTCGTTCTTGCTCGTGTGACTGATGCTGTTCCACGCGTGGGATAATGTTAGCACGTGCCAGACTTTTTTATTGTATTATTATTAGGGTTTTGAGCAGTCTCCCCCTACACGATTCTTCGCGCTTTTGCTAAATTTCTTGCAGGAACGACGTATCTATGTGAGAACGGTGGTTAATTCAGCAATTAATTGTTTAAGGGTGGGTATCAAAGTAATAAAGGTGAGTGATTTAATATTCGATTATTTATTGGGTGATGTGCTCGTGGTCAAATTTAAGGGACTTGTTATCGTTAAAAAGGAGGGCCAGGGTCAGAGACCTCGTGGTATGTCTCAATCGTGCCCTTTATAACCTCCATGAGAGAGAAGATAATTCTTGTAGGCTGACAACAGTTTCCAATGGCGAAATTAAAATACGAGCGTTCTCTCTCTTAAATATCCTCTCTTTCTCTCTCTTAATTGTACTCTCCCCCTTTCTCTCTCTTAAGTCTAGCTAGCAATGTCAAACACATATATTGCCTGTGATTTTTTTTTGTAGGCTCCTACTCATTTTTATAAATAATAAGTGGTTTTCGAATATGTGAGAATAAAATCCTAGACTTAAGTCTTATGTGGTGTTATGTGTCGCGACCCCAACCTTATTTTCTAATAGTATTGTGATTCCTAGCTATGTAACTTACATTCTTGCATCTCTCTTCTTTTTTTTTTATGTTAATGGTGTTGATGTAGGAGGGACGTTATTTCGAAGCATCCACGCCCCTAACCACGATACACCAGTCACATTCTTAAATTTCTTACATCTCTCTCAACCAAAATAAAGTAGTTATCTTTATAAACAAACTATGAATTATATTTTTAAGAAAAATGGTTCGAGAAGACGGCAATCTTAGAAAAAACAAGTAAAGCTTCATCTCAAAGTTTATCGAAAATTACAGTTTTGGCATCAAAAGAATTAATCATCTTGGCCCTGATTATTACAGTTGTACAAAAAAAAAGATTTTCAAACCTTAAAAATAATATATATTACAATAATTTATCCCGACGGTCTATTTTACCTTAAAATAAATATTCACAAATCCACAACATCTATAAAGCATCAAATTTCATAAGTGATGTTAAAAATTGTGAAAGGACAATTCTTCTCTCTCTACCCCCAAAAGGGTCAACCAAGCCTCTAGCCAGCACTTAACGATCTCCGCATCTCATTGCCAGTAAACCCTAAGGCTAGAGAGAGAGAGCACAAAAGTAGAGAGAGAGCCCAGATAAAGTCCGCCTAGCATCTTTCAATTAAAAAAAACCACATGATTCTTGCATTTATTTTACAAACCACTGTACAGATATTATAAATAATATTGGAGACCACCAGTGGTTCTCTCTCCAGCCAAGTGTTTCCAGTGGAAGCAATCTCTCTCTAAAATAACTTGCAGTTACCTCCAATTTCTCTGTCTTTTCATTCATGGGTTTCATCATGTAACCAGCAGCATGGAGCATGCATGGCAGTTTGCGCGATTGAAAATTATGGTTGTGAAAAAAATTACGATTGCAAGCTTTAAAAGTAGTATGTATTTTATCAAATTATCTAAACTGTCCATTTTACCTTAAAAATAAGTATTCAAAGATCCGCAAGATATGTACGATTTTTTTAGTTTCAAAATTGAGTGTCAGTGTTGAAAATTGATTTTAGAGGCAGCATATATATTTCTGTTGTCAAATGTGAATTTCTGATGAGGATTTAAGCTAAGCCTTTACTTGGTTTTCATAAAACCTAGTCCTTATGGGAACTTCATCCAAACTAAAGAGAGAAACTCACCAAAAGAAAAAAAAAAAACGTGTTGAGAGGGAATCACCCAGTGCGTTATATAAAAAGGAAAAAGTTTATATAGAGCTAAGGCTCTAAACAATCAAATTAGAGCACACCTCAAAAAGTTTACTAAAAGATGTTGTTTTGATGTTCAAATATTTTAAAATTGATTATCTTGACATCAAGATGCATGGACATGAGAAAAAAATGGATTTCAAGTTTTAGAAATAATGTATCTGTAACTCATTTTTAGACGGTCAATTTTCAAGATTTCCAAATTTTCATAGATCTATTCCATCTACGCTATTTTTAAAGCTTTAAATTTTATAATTAAAAATGAAAATATACTTTAAGGCTATCACAAATATTTCTAACATTGAAATCATTATTCTCGATACTATTTGAAGGTGCTCTTTATTTTGATTGTTTAGAACCACACCCATTTTTTTCTTTTTTCTATTGTTTTGATGAGTTTCTCTCTTTTAGTTTTGGAACTCGGAAAATCAGATGAGAGCGTCCTTATATCATGGTTTATATAATGCTCCCGCAAGACCAAAGGATGATTTGTTTTTATACAGAGTCGACCTTTTTTCTAGGGTTTGTGATCGCATCCGCATAGCATATGCCACGCGGACACGTAGAACCATTTTATCTCACTGCAGGACCACGCGGCCTGAGCCTATGCACTTTTGAGCGGTGTAACCAACCCTCGCTTTTTTGTTGCTTTGGCACGTCTCCTACGATAACTACCCATCGGATAAAACTGAAAAACAGACAAAATTAGTTTTGTATTTTCATGGATGCCGCCGATACTTTTCAAATTGTATCGTGTGTTTCGTGAAAACGTATGTAAGATTAGTTGTTGCTTCTCGTTGTTGCTTCTCGTTAATTTTTTTTTAAAAAAGTCCATATAATGTGTAAACCTTACACTGAACGGGTAATGTGCACTTAAAAAATTACTAGAGAAGATTGTTCCTATGTTGTAAAACCTTAAAATTAATCATATGGACCTCGAGATTCATAGACAAAAAAAAATACTTCATCTTCTGATACATTATCTGACCATCCATTTCCAGATTTTCAAGTGTGTATAGATTTGCTTTATCATCACTGTTTATGGAATTTTAAATTTCATAACTGGGGGCAACAATAGATTTCATATCACCATAAGGCTTTATGGCACTAGAATTACACTTTTGGCATAGTTTTGAGGTGTACCTTACTTCAATAGTGTAAGGTTGATACTTTATAGTTTATACATACATACTATTTAAAAATTGGTTATGTTAAGGTACTCATATATA